TAAACCTGGCCCCAGTTGTTCAAAAGGTAGATAACGCTATCCACTCGATAAATCTCTACATGTATATCCCTTGATAGAAATTCAGCTGGGGCCAGGGCTATAATATTATTTTAAACCTAGTTTGGTTCAGAATTTCCTTTCTTTCTTGGCCCGTATTCATCAGATGCACAGTGTGTAGGAGGCAATGAAATTCTGTTTTACCCTGAGAACAGATTTTAGTATCCATGACGTTTTTAAATGTTGGTTTACCTGTATTTTGACTCAAATAAAAAATTTAATGCAGTTGTTAAGATTCAGAAGGAGAAAAACCAGACTGGAATAATCCCAAAAATTAGTTATTGCCAATTACAAAAAATCACCAATCCACAAATTTTATTATAAAAATTAAACTCCCACAAAAGGAAAGTTTTACATGGTTCTTGACAACATTGCACCTTAATTTAGTATGTGAACTCTCTTTCTCTGTTCCTGTTTTAGTGTTCATGTCTGCAGTGTTAAAGGATTTTTAGGATTCCTGTGATGTCTAGGCTGATGGAGGTAAGAAAAATTCATTATCTGTTAGCTATAGTGTAGGTCAAGTAAAGGTTGATTTTTCTTTGTATCTTACAAGTTGTCAGGTTTGAGGTTTTAGAAGTTATAGTTGTGGTTCTGAACATTGGTGGAGGGATGTTAATCATATCAGACTCTGAATCAGGGGAGGTCTGATTTGAGCCCCCTCTGTTCCATCTCTTGATGTATGACTCGGATAAAAACCAGCAAAGCCGGTTTTGCCAGGTTATCATTACACATAAGGGAAGAAACTTTTCAGGGGGGGGGGGAAGATTTAATAAAAGTTTGGTTGGGTCTGTGCTGCTAAAACCCTTTGATTCTGACCCTGTTTAAAGGCAAAATGCTTTCAAATTGCAAACCTGTTTAAGATGCTTCAGTTCTCGAAATTAACTTTTGGGTCTGGTCTGCCACAGGACCAGTAGGATTAAAATTTACTGGTCCATCAGCAAAACTACTGATCACTCTTATCATTTTAAAATTTTTAGTTCAGATCCTCAGGGAGTATTTCATGTTTTTTGTTTCGGGAATCTCCACAAAAGAGAACATTTTGTTTTCCTGTCAAACCTCAGCCATTTGTATTTATCCTTCCATGCCACCTGGTCGGAGCAGGTGTTTCAGATTCTGTGTTAATTTCTTTATCGTCTGATAATAACTTTCCTCCAAAGAAAGAGTACAGTGAGCCTTGCACTTGTTTCCATTTCAACATACTTTGGCTCATGTTTTAATTCACCAACGAAAAATACATAATGACCTTCTAAATTAAATTACAAAAGCCGCCATCTTGTATGCCACAGTGCATTTTGTTTCAAATAGAACCCAGACCTTTATTCAGCACGAGACTGTCTAGCACTTTTTGAAACATTTGTCTTTGGCAATTCTTTTTTGGTTTCAAGGCTTAGCTCAGTCGAGAGTGATAACTTTACTCGTCCAGATCAGGACTATAGTGGAGAAGAAAACTACTCATTTTCGGAATTTTTTACTTGTTTTGGACGAGTGGACAACTGTTAAGTTCAAGCACTGCGCTTAATAGTTAAATTGAATACTTCTTTTGAGATTGAAGATCCCATAAACCTCTACCATGCATGGTGGCACATACTGAGTGAGCCAAACATGGAAGTTTCCCCCCACCCCCGAGTGCGTGTGTCCATCTGTAAACTCCCAAGGGAACCGTTTTCCATATATGGAGGCAAAGAAACAATGCAATTTTATTGTTAATGACAACATATCATCAAGACATCATAACTTATTTCAGTTACGTGTGTGCTAGATCTACTGTTTACCCATTTTTTCAGGGCAGCTTTTCAAAAAATGCACAAATGTACTTATCAACCGTTTAAAGTTTTCATGCCAAAGATCAATTTCACTACAATATTGTTCAAAAGCAATACTTTAACTTGAGGGAGTTGGCCATCGGTCTTCTCACACTTTAGTACGTGACCTACGGGGTGGCCCTCGGGGAATTGCAGGGCTCCTTGTGTGCTTTTGCTTGCCCAAGCTCATCATTAGCGATGAGGCTAAATGTGCTAAATATTATTTAAGCTAAGTAAATTATCAATGATTCTAATAGTGCGTAATTAAACGTTCCTTTTGTATGTTACCAAGCACAAATTTTAAGACAGATAATACAACTATAAATGTATTTTGAGTATTTTTTTTGTGTCTTTTTGTGTTGTCTCCTTTGATATTCAACAGGCATGATCAGTAACCTGTATTAAAAGATGAAATGTGATCTATGATGTCGAAAAATTATTTCGTAGAACACAAGAGAATGACCATAGTGTCATGATCTCAAAAGATCGTGTGCATTATCAGGAATTACGGAAAAATACATACCGGTTGTTTTTTTCAAAAAGATAATAATTATATTTTTGAAATAATTATTATTTCATCAAAGGAATAACATAGACGTAAGCAAAAAAAATTGAAATATAGTATTTCTTTATGAGCTTTAAATTCTAAAATATGTGGTAAAAAGGTAACATTACCCGACTCATTAAATATCTAACAATGTCTAATATAGATTTGACTATCAACATAAATTTTTCTGAGTTTTGTGGCTCACAGCCGCTTTGATCTTAGTCAAGAAACTATTTGTCACTTTACCTCTCCTCTCACAGGTCTTTAATTTTGTGTTTTTTTTTTAAACTGGCTACATACCATTGGGAACAATGCTGTGGTGGACTAGTATCACATCCAGGGAGGGGTGGGGGAAGTTGGGCTGGGAATAGTTCTTGGCAATTCACGGTATTCAATCCAAGATAAGCTCTCGCTGTGTGCAGGGCTTCAATGGCTTGTTTCAACCCTTTAAACACCAGTATTCACATACAAATTCTCCAGACTGATCTCAATGCATTCCTTAACCATTTAAGCCCTAAGAGTGATCAGCGTCAAATTTCTCTTTGTAGTATCACTTCTTTATAAAACACAGTGGTCATGAGAATTGAGGACCTGATCACACAAGATGAATGTAATTGATACTTCAACAAATTCTCCCCACTACTTGTATTAAAAACAAATAGGGACAACAAATGAGAATTTGAATTTTGACATTAGGGTTTAAGGGTTCACAGAATTACATGTAGTTAAGAGAGTTTGACTAACGATTAGAGCATTTTCACTAAGTGATCATTCTATTAATTTCATATCATTAACTGGACAGTTTACTTACATGTACAGTAGTCCACACCTCTTAGTGTGGTACAGGCGTACTGTACTGTTTACATACATATAGTCCACACCTCTTAGTGTGGTACAGGTGTACTGTGCTGTTTACATACATGTAGTCCAGGTGTACTGTGCTGTTTACTTATGCACCTATCAATGTTAAGCCCGAGGGGGGGGACCCCGGGCATATGTGGGGCATTTGACCTCTTTTGCCTTCCCCACCCTCGGGAGTTTGACTTAGAATCAGGGCCCCAGGGTGGGGACGTTTGCTTTTTTTTTGCGAGGAGGACTGGTAGCTAGTCACGTCTGTGCCGGCCATCTTGGAATTCACTGGAGCGCTGGCTGGAAAGCACGGCTGTTTGATATCTGATTGTATCATTCTAGATTCGCGTAGCTCAACAAGGTCCATTCAGTTTTTGTATTAGATTGAGAAAATGATATCTGATTGTATCACTTGAAATGCTAGATTCGTATTTTCTACATGGTACATTCTTTTCCATATTAGATTGAGAAAATATCTGATTGTATGACTTGAAATGCTAGATTTGTAAAGCTCAACATGGTATACAGCTCGCGTTGTTCCTGTAAGATTGAGACAATTATATTTGATTTTTTCACGTGAAATGCTAGATTTGTTGATTATTTTCCTCGGATTACACAAAGCATCAAAGGAGTTTAAAATATAAAAAAAAAGCTTGGCAATTTATATCAATTATTTGTAAAATATACACAACAACTACTATGAACTTTAGGGATATTACTTCCCTAAGGTGGGGATATTTGATCTTATTTGACCCAGTTTTGGGGCCCCACGGTGGGGACTTTGACCAAAAAATCTTCTGAAAAGTCAAATGCCCCACATATGCCCGGGGTCCCCCCCCTCGGGCTTAACATTGATAGGTGCATTACATCTAGTCCACACCTCTTAGTGTGGTACAGGTGTACTGTGCTGTTTACATACATGTAGTCCACACCTCTTAGTGTGGTACAGGCATACTGTGCTGTTTACATACATGTAGTCCGCACCTCTTAGTGTGGTACAGGTGTACTGTGCTGTTTACATACATGTAGTCCACACCTCTTAGTGTGGTACAGGTGTACTCTGCAGTTTACATACATGTAGTCCACACCTCTTAATGTGGTACAGGTGTACTGTGCTGTTGAGACACTCTTAGTAACGTGCATCATTTTTGACCTTTCACCCTGCAAGTTATCTCTGTCCCACTCCCTTCAAAGCACATGAATAAATCATACTGGGCCAGTCCACGTAAAGTGTTACAGTACGTAATTAATTAATACAGTCTGTCATTTAAGAATAAAGGGGGAGGGGAGGGGAGGGGAGGGGAGGGAGGGGAGGCTTAAAAGAGAGTGGGGGGTCAATAACTTTCTTCCCCTGAAAGCGGGGGGCGGGGGGTTAATAGAGAATTTATTATGGTATAGAGATATGCATTAGACACCACAGGTAGCCCAAACTCAAAAAATGTCCTGCAGTCTTGTTTTCCTAGTCAATTTTTCAAGTGCACTCGCCGACAAAAAAGAAAATGCTCAATTAAAGTTTGCAGGAACTTATTATTAAAAAGGCTTTTTAATAACCAGAGGTCAGCTCTATTTTCGTTTCTCTTTGTAAATAACATTCTGGCAGACAAGGCGAGACGAAAAGAGAAATTTTAGCGGGACCACGAAACGTAAGAGAGAATATATGAGAACTGCTAAAATTGAGCCTGATCTCAGGTTAGCTTCTTAATAAACCCTTTAAAAAATTTATTCTACTCTTCTTTTAGGAATTGTCATCCTTTCCTAGCACAGCCTCTACATCACAGGAAGACCATGAAAGCAACTCAGAATCCACTTCCTCGAGGATATTGAGAGTAACTCTGTTGAGCAGTGAATGGAGATCAACAAAAGGAGGCTTGTCAACCATCAACCGAGAGCTGTCTATTCAGTTGGCTAAACACCCCAGTGTGGAGGTCAGTGTTTATCTTCCTCAGTGCAGCGAAGAGGATAAACAAGTTGCTTTTAGTCACAATGTACAGCTTATTGACGCAGAAGAAATGCCAGGTTATGACCCTGTTGACTGGTTGTCCTTTCTTCCTGAAAACCATTCTGTGGATTGTGTGATAGGACATGGGGCTGTTCTTGGTCGACAAGTGCAGGGTATAAAACGTCAGTGTAAGAGCAAGTGGATTCAGGTCGTTCATACAGCTCCTGAAGAGCTTGGTATAATCAAGTCCTACGCAGATGCCATTTCAAGAGGCGAGAAAAAGCACCAGGCTGAGGTAAAACTCTGTGAAAAAGCTGATCAAGTTGTAGCAGTTGGACCCAAGCTGGCTGAAGCTTTCTCACGTTATCTCCGTGCCTGCGGAAAGGATCAAGATGTCCTCAATCTTACCCCAGGCATCTTCTCTGAATTTTCTGATATAAAGCAAGCCACTGAAGAAAGAAAAACATTCAGTGTCTTAGTGTTTGGACGTGGTGACAGTGAAGACTTCCAGCTGAAAGGATATGACATAGCTGCTCGAGCTATTGCCGAGTTGAAAGATGAGCCACAGCCCTATAAGCTGTTGTTTGTTGGAGCTCCAAGTGGAGAAGAGGAGAAAGTAAAAGATTTGTTACTCCAGCAAGGCATTGATCGCAGTCAACTAACTGTACGTTGTTTCAATGAAAGTAGAGAGCAGTTAGCCCGTTTGTTTTGTAAAGTAGATCTTGCTATAATGCCATCACGAACTGAGGGCTTTGGTCTAGCCGCCCTTGAGGCTTTATCTGCTGGTCTGCCTGTGCTGGTCAGTGGGAACTCCGGTTTTGGAGAGGCCTTAAGGGAAGTTCCGATTGGTTCAAATTGTGTGGTGGAATCAGAAGATCCTAAAGATTGGGCCAATGCAATAAGAGTTGTTCGGAAGAAAAACCGGAAGCTGCGATTGAGAGAGGCCAGGCTTCTTCAAGGAGAGTATGCTGAGATGTACAATTGGCAGGATCATTGTAACAAACTTGTGGAGCGAATCAATGTTTGCCATCTCTCAAGGTAACAGGTTCACGTTGTTAATATTTAAATTGGTCTTTATAACGTGCACTGCTGGCATTAGGAAATGTTCACGCAATTACAATGACAACAGTAGTGAGATCCTCACCTCAACAGATTTTCCTATCACTTTTAATAACTGGATACCTTTTAAAGAACGTACATTTACTTTTTTCGGTGACGTCTTATTTCCAACCCTGGGGTTCAGAAGGAAAACTAATAATTGTATTGCTACCCTTTTTGTAGGTCCCAATGCGGATGAGCAGAATTTATCAAAGAAAGCCACTGTGATCTGTCAAGATGAAAACCCCTCTTCTTCTGAAAAACGTCTTCATAAAGGTACCGTTGAATCTTAGAAACTTGTGTAATATGTCCGCGAAAGCAACTCATTGTTTTCTATGTAGGAAGGTCTGGGACGTGTACTTTAATTTATTCCTTGTGGGGATGTTAAATAAACAAGAAATGGCCGAAGCATCGAACAAGACTCGTTTAAGACTGACTTACAGGGTCAAGACGTTTTCACACTGGTTACAAGTTAACAATGTGAGATACCGACAAATAATGCTCGTTTCTGGTTTACTTTTCTCGTGCTAAATAGAGTAATAGACTACAACAAAAGGAAATTTTGTTTTAACATATACGCGGTAGGCTTCGTCTTTTTGTATGGGTTTTTCTAAGTGAATTTTCACCTTGGGACTTTGACATGCTGTCCATTGCCGCGGTGTATAGATTGTCAGCTAACAATTAATCGCCCCAGTAAGGTAATCAGGTTTCCAGAATCTGGGAAACTTTTTCTAGTGGAATCTGGAATCGAGGAAACTTTATCATTTGGAATCCGGACCCTGGGCTTTGGAATCCAGAATCGAACTCAAGGAATCTGGAAGCTCGCTAATGATTGTAATACGAAATCCAAGTTCCGCTGACAAGGAATCCGGAGTCCAGTACCTGAAATCCAGAATCTAAGACTGTTTTGGCGGCGCAATTGACGTGCTCTGTGTTTCTCTTTATTACTCAATCACGACTGTAAAATTTCGTGTGGACTGATAGTCTCGGTAGTCGTTTAAGTCTACGAGAAACCGCTTTTTTAAAAACGTCTTCAGGGAGGTACATGTGAATTCCCTATTTGAAAAAAAAGCATACAAACACAAGTTTTGTAGGGAATTAGCTGGGGTGTGTATGAGCAAAAATAATTGATCGCTAGTCTGGTTTAATTTCAGGCTCAAAAAAAGGGAAAAGACCTTTGTCTCCAAGTAGCACTCCAGCATCAAAAGTCCCAGAATGTTTGGGAGATGAAGGTAAAGTTTGTTTATGCATGATAAAGTTTATAACCATTTTAGTACTGAAAGCAACATAGGAAGTAGAAAGATCTGCATGGACGAACTTGTGTTCATAAAAGCTTTTGTGCCCCCTGCCACGCCCCTTCCCCCTCCTGCTTTAGAGATGGATACTCAAGATGGTGGAGTCACTCTCTTGCGTTCAGTAGCAAAACTTAAACTTCTCAGGCTTGACGCACGCTCTCTCTATTTCGAGCGTGCTTCATATTTCGCAGAGTTGAACCTGGTGAGTACAGAATTTGTTGTTTGCATTTTGGCACATTTTGTCAAACTGTGGTCAAGTCCTGTTCTTGTCAATTCCTTGTGACATGGTTCATGGGAAAGCGTTTAGTGCTTTAAAATGATTTTTTTGTGCGAAGGTGGTGTGGCAAAAGACAATGATGCTTTTCGGGTTTGATTGTTTGTGTTTCAACTGATTTTACCTGGTCTGAAAAAAAATTTTTTTTGGCCCTTTGGGCTTCACTTTCGTCTAAAATATGGAGTCGAACGGCCGGCCCCCCGTGCTTCTCCCCTGGAATTTAGAAGCCGAAGGATATTAACTCTTTCACCCCGAAACCGAGTCATGGCGAGATGATTTGTCATTCTAAGTTTTGCATATGTGAACGAAACCCAGTGGTGTTATCCTCTTATTGCTATTTATTTCTTGGGATTTCTCTAAAAAGAAATCTGGAATCTTTGTGAGTTTTCCCTTTTCCACTCTTAGGAGTGAAAAGCGGTTACCGTATTTACTCGAATGAGCACCGCACATGGAGTGGAAAATTTAATACACGCTACCCTACGGCACTTATTCGAGTATTTCCATAAGATGTCACAAATACACTGTAATCGCTGCAATGCGGTTCTAAGCCAGCAATGGGAATTTATTTTCATCAATAGTGAAGTTTTTCAGTTTAAACCTGCAGAAAAGTATTGACGAGGCTGTTATGAAAGCCAAAACTTAGGTTAGCTTCAAGCCGGTAAGCCATGAAAAAATACTCATGAAGTAAATTAAATTGTACAATCAAAATGGTTTGTCTTTGTGGTATGAGCCTTTTAAATAAGCGCCGCCCTCGAATAAGCGCCGCACCGGAGGCACGAAAAATAAAATGAGCACCGCGGCGCTTATTCGAGTAAATACGGAAACTCTGTCGATTTCCTTTTATGTAAATGGAGGCGTGGCTGAAAATTAATTCCTCAAAATATAATGTAGTTAGTTTCTACGTGGTGCTGCGTGCGGCAGTGAAATACACAAAAATTGGTTTTATGAACTGAGTCGACGCAGGTAAATTGGCCAGGTTAAAAAGCATACGTTTTTAGAGCTAACCCCTTGTTAATTAATCTCCTTATTCAAAGATTTCCTTTTAAGGCCTATCTCTATTAAAAAACAGTCGAACCTCCGTGTGCGACCACGTGTCCAAAACAACAACGATACCCAGTCGAAGCCTTAGAGTTGGAACCTCTAGTAAACGACCACCTCCTGTAAGCGACCGCGACCACTTTTTGGGGGTGACGTTCCTATAGTTTTTTTTACCATTTTTTACCTCTCGTAACCCGTTTGATGCATGATCTGACCTCTATGCTCACCTGTGTGTACTATACCACTCAGTGTATATGAAGAAGTTTTAATGACAATATAAAGCTATACATATCGTAACTAAGACATTACATGCAAAACATTATCTTCTATTAGTTTGCTAAGTGCGGACCTTTTCTCGAAAGAGACCCCCTGTTGTTCGATTCTTGTTGGTGACCTCGTCCCGTAAGCGTCCTTTAACTTTCTAACATTTTGGTTCAGTAGTAGCTTATAGGAGGTTTGACTGTATTTGATTTATGTACAACTGCTTGATTTGCTTTGACGATTCAAATTATAATTTCCTAAGCTACACTGCTTTCATTACTAAGTATAATATAAAGACAAACTATCTAGAGTATTATAAAGTAGTGTCTGCCCTTAAACATTTCAGGAAAAAATGTTCCAACAATCAAAACTTCACTACCTTGGAAAAAGCCACCGACAACCTGTTCTCTTCCGAGAAAATTTGCAAAATGTTTTATCAGATTTTGCTCAAAAGAAAGACTTCCTCACCAGTGAAAAGCCAGGGAAAGTGGCCTGCTGAAGATCTTTTTTCAAACGTACAAGTGAACTGGGAAAATACCTATCAGCTACGTTTTCTATGTACTTCGGAAAGGAAGTTAAGGGTATTTCAATTCAAATTTCTGCATAGAAGAGTAGCTACAAACGACTTCCTTCTTAAGATAGGCAAAAAGGAAACAGACTCCTGTTCTTTTTGCGCTGATTCCCCAGAGACACCTACGCATCTCTTTTGGCATTGTAGATAAACTCAGACTTTTTGGAATAATGTTTCGCAGTGGACCTCCGAAGAGCTTCAGTTGACCAACTTGAATATTACCCCCTTTTCGCCAGCTCTTTGCCTCGGCTTAATTGACAACATATCCAATCTTCCCCCTCATTGCTAGACATTATATATATAGTTGCAAACTACGAAATACTATTCCTGTGGTACAAGTGTACACTCAGTTAGTCATACGCTCCATGGAAATTGAGAAACAGATTGCGTTTGATAATAAAAACTTAGCCTCTTTTAAGAAGAAATGGGCTACTTTCAAACAATGCCCCTCAGAATACAATTTGACCAATACAGTTAATTAAAGTGCAAGTGACAAACGGGCAGATGGGTGATGGAAGACCATAAGGCAGACAGCCTTCTCTAATTGTTAATATATAAACTATATATAGTATTTTTGTGGACTTTGTCTTTCTTTTTTTTTTTAATTTCTTTTTTGTAAACGATAACGTTACCTGTAATGAATTGTAAATGTAATGTATTGTAATTGTTTGTGTGTGCGAAATAAATAAATAAATAAACAATAATAATAATAATAATTAAAAAAACATTGGTGTAAAATAAGTATTACTTGTTGAATAACACTGATAGTCTATAATAATATTGATAGTGTACAGTTCTGTTTGTCAAGGTATTTAAATAAAATTAAATGTTTCGTTCCAAAAAAAATAGAGTCCGTTTGGAAAATGTGTGTTCTACATTCCACACATGCCAATTGTAAAGCAGAGTACAGTTACGACGAAGGTTCCCATGGTGTTTGACGCGAGTGTTAAGCCCCAACCTTTGACTAACAGCATCAATGATTGCATGTTTACTGGTTCCCCGTTGCAGCCGCTTCTCTGGAATATAATGGTTAGAGTACGAATGTCCTCAAGTCTGCCAGGTTCCCGGTTTACAAGTGGGAATCTAATGTCAAGTTTCTTGAAAGTGAAGGCATGCCAAACCCAAGCAAGATCCTTGGACACACGTGGAATAAAGATTATGACACACCGGAGCTGCTTGCAAAGCCTTTTCCACCAGAACATCCAGTGACCAAGTGCACTATACTCAGTTACCTAGGAACTGTCTATGACCCACTCGGGATAATCTCACCCACCATGGCAGAGGGAAAGCATATTTATCGAGAAGCCCGCGATGAGAAGAAAGGCTGGAATGCAGAAGTTTCCGCCAGATTGAAGAACGAATGGTTGAGGTGGATGAAGCAACTTAGAGATGTAAAAGTGTCTAGAAGTATTGGCTCTTTCGTTAGAGAGATAGGAGCGGTCCATTTACATCTTTTCGCAGATGCCAGCATATTAGCATGCTGTGCAGCAGTTGTTGCGGGGGTAGAACATGAGGCAGGCGTGACCAAAGGACTTCTGACCTCAAAGTCGCGGATATCAAAGAGAAGTAAATCAATAGCAAGACTGGAGTTCGTGAGTGGCCACATGGCAGTAAACATCGCGAAGAACCTCTGCACTCCTCTCCAGAGGTGGCCCATCGAAACCATCAACATTTGGATGGACAGTATGGTAGCACTATATTGGATAACCAATCCTGGGAGAGGGTGGAAGGTGTTTGTATCAAATAGAGTAAAGAATATAGCAGAAACTGCTGGTCCAGTCAACATCACTTGGAAGAACTGCCCATCAGAGTTGAGTCTAGCAGACGTCGGAAGTAGAGGGGCAACCATTGTGGAGATGGAAAGAGGAAACTGGTTTGCCGGTCCGGATTGGCTCTTGGACAAAAGGCGGTGGCCAGAGCAGCCTAGGCTGAATAGCACTAAAGAAACAGATGAAGAGAGTAACGTCACCCAAGAGGCAGTTCTTCGAACAGTAGAGCGTATGTTCGATGAGTGGGATGCCTTACTAGAAATGCAACAGCATGGGTGTTACGGTTTATCAGTAACTGCAAAGCGAGGAGCAAGTCAAAGAAGATGTCAGGTCTATTAGTCACGTAAGAGATCCCAACTGTAAGTGACTACTAGGTAAAGCGAGTTCAGAAAGCAGAATAAACATGTCTGAAGTCCCCAGGATGGATGTTGGCCAAAGATGACCATACAGGAGTTCTCATGTGTGAAGGCAGAATTAAAAGATTAACGGCCGATTTACCTTCCTGGTGGTTTACCTGCGGAGAAGCTTATCTTTCACATCCACAATCAGGTCATGCATCTTGGTGTCGCAAACACGATGGCGAGTGTGAGAGAAGACTGGTGGATACCAAAGTTGACAGCGAAAGTGAAGAAGGTCATTAAGAACTGCAACATCTGCAAAGTATACTTCACCAAACCTTACGGATTGCCGTCAATTAGTGGTTTGCCAGAATATAGAACAGAGGGGAGTAGACCGTTTGAAGTAACCGGGGTGGAGTTTGCCAGACCCTTCCTGTACAAGGTCGGTAAGAAAGAAGAATGAAAGTGCTATGTGATTATTTTCACCTGTGCCAGCTCCAGAGCGTTCCATTTGGAAGTTGCAAGCACCCAAACGGCAGGTGAATTCAAGAGTAAGCTGAGTGCCTTCATCTCGCGACGGACAAGACCTCGCATCATCATCTCAGATAATGCCAAAGTGTTTAAGGCTACAGCAGATTGGATCAAGACAGTGAGAAAAAGTGAGAAGTTGCAGAATTACGTAGCACGTAAAAACATCCGCTGGCAGTTTAATCTTGCAAAGTCACCCTTGTGGGGAGGAATCTATGAGAAATTAATTAAGGAGATAAAGAAGACCTTGCACAAGACCTTGGGGAGGTCATATCTTTCCTATGAAGCATTTAAATCAGTCATCATGGACATCGAAAGAAATTTGAATAATCGCCCCTTGACATATGTTGAAGCAGAGGGAGAGGAAGAGACGGTGCTTACACCGAACACGATCCTGTGGGGACGAGATGTGTATGCTGTAGAAGACACTGAAAGCTCAGATGCAGAGAAGCTGACAAGGATGGCCAAACGATTAGAAAATGCTAAGGCCAATGCATGGAAACGCTGGAAAAGGGAGTATGTCCACAGCCTATTGGAAAGTAACAGGCTTAACAAGGAGACGGAAACCATACCTCAAGTGGGAGAAATTGTACTCATCATTGGAGACGAAAGAACCGCGGAGAATGGAGAAAGGGTAAAGTGGTTCGTCTTATCAAAGGCAAAGATGACGTCGTTAGAGAGGTAACATTGGTACACAAAAAGCACACTATTGACCGATCGCTTCAGTTAGTTTGCCCCGTGGAAATCAGAGCGGTGGAGAATGTTGACCAGCCTCAAAAGGGGAGGAGAGATCGAGCTGATGTAGGAGAACAGAGACCAAGACGAGCTGCAGCTCAGATGGCTGCTCAGAGAATCGCAGAACAATTGCAAGAAAGAAGAGAACTGATAAACTGAACTGTGTTTTAGTATAAACCAGACTGTCATATAGCAAATCGGATTAGTTTCAAGTTACGGTTGATTGTAAACGTTGCGAGCTGCCATTTGTAGGGGAGTTGTGTAAGAGAGATTTACCGACACTACCCCTCACAGTTCTGTGTCCTTTAGTACTACTACCAAATTAGGGCTAGGACTACCAAATAAGGCAATGAACCCGTGCGAGAAAGATAGAACTGGACGAGACGAAAAAGAGAGCGAGTTTTCCTTGTGGAGTCTTTCATCGAGTATTGTGATTTATTGTGAGTTCTTTCGGAGAGAATAAACCAGGAAACCGTGTTATCGTGAGTTTTTACTGTGAGTTCTATGCGCTGTTTTATTGTTCAGCTCAGTTGGTTTAGTTTTTGCAATCGATCGCCTGCTACATCAACACACACACATGTGCGTAGGTTGGAGGCTTATTTATAAAAACAAATTCCTGAAAATTTTACAAGTAGGGAAAATATAAATACGTTATTTGCTGGTCCGCCGGGGAGGATTCAGATGAAGGAATATCCTAGATAGGTCCTGGTAAACGGCTTTTGTCTCTCAAAATTCCCCCACTATCCCGTACACAAATGTTTCTAAATGTAATTTAGGCGAGGTTAAACACGAGACAATGCTGGCCAGCGGTCTCCACCACTAATGATATGTGGGCGGTCTTAGGGTTTAGCAGGGCCTTAGTGAATTTGCAGCGGTTTTGCAGAAGTCAATCGTTTTGCTCACGTTGTCTTTGCGTGCAGGAGTTCTAGTTGTGTTTTGCCTCCAACCCTCCCTCCTCTCTGGATGTTTTTCTTGGTAAATATCTGCGCCTTTTTCCACTGAGATTCTCAGCGTGATGGTGCCTGGTAGGTGCCGCTCTTTGGGTTGTCATGGTTATTTTCGAGGCTTGCTTGTGGCCCCCAGGCACCTTCCCCACACCCATCTATTGTTGATGGGTTTAAATTGGATTTGTTTGCGCGAGCCAACTTACATAGGAGGTCTTCACCTTGTCGATATTTGGCAGGCACACTGTCCCTCTCTGTTCTCTCTCCATTCTCCCACTCGTTCTTTAAGGGACAGTGAAGCCTGCGAAGCAGGCTACTGTGGCAAGCCGTTTGTAGCAATACAAAATTCAGTCAAGTCAAAAATTTATACAATCCAATTATTTTAGCGTAATAAAATAAAGAATAAAAAAAGCGTTTAAATTAATCCTTAAAAAATTCATTCAATCCAATCATTGGAATATTTATTCAATGCAATCACCGAAATATTTATTCAATCCAATGACTGAAATATTTATGCGATCCAAAAACGGAAACATATGTTTAATCCATTCATGGACATATTTATTCAGTCCATTCGAGAACACGTTTAATACTCCCGGCATTTCATTTAATCTTCCTGGGGCGAGCGCGGCCAACCCGAGTCGTAACATATATGGCTTTATCTTTTTTTTAAAGTTGCCCATTTTTGCCTTGCTGGAAAGGGAGGGGGAGGGGAGTAGAAAATGTTGCAATCTGCCTTTTACTTTTTTTTATATTCATTTATAAAGTTAATTCATATTTGGGTGCTACTCTTTACTTATTAATCAGGCTGGCGATATTCATATTGTTTTTCATAGAGAGAGCGTCTGAAACATCGGCCACTGATCCTCCTCAAGTCAGTGCCCGTCAGATAAGGAATAAAGATCTTCCTGCAAAGTCAAAGCCTTTTGGTGATTGCCAAATCGAAGTCGACATTCTGTTACTGACGGTGATGAAGGAAGATACCTGCGAGGATTGTGAATTTCTAAGCTGCCTTGCATATCTAAATCCTGATTTCTGTAAGATTCATCACCCAGATCTTGGCTACGTGTACCTTGGAGACATGGGAGAAGATGATTTGAAACTAAACGTCGCTGTTATGAAGTGCTGCGAGGGTTCGAGCTCTACGGGAGGTTCTATAGTTGTTGTAACTAACGCTGTCAAGGTCTTGAAGCCGAAAGCAGTGTTTTGTGTGGGTTCTTGCAGTGGCCTAAATGTCACCAAAGTTAGTC